ATTAATGGTGTGAACATGGTGACAGAGGATGCCCGGCGGTGGACACCAGGTGAGCCCCCCCCCTGCCACAGAACTGTATAACATTCACCAGGATGCCCCAGAGATACTGATTTTAAGCAGTGTTTATTATTATTATTATTATTCAAGCCCCAGAAGCTTGTTAAAGTTCTCAACAACAAATCTGTTTATTGTGTGCACTCATCGACAGGTATCAAGAATTTCAGCAAAGCGCAAACAAAGGCATAGAAGAAAAAGAGTGTTAGTTATTAAATATGGATATAAAAGAAGCAGGTTTCAAGTTGTTTTAAAAAAAATGGCTTAGCATGTTTTATGTCGAGACAAATACAACACTGCATGCTTCTTAAACATCTAACATACACGGTGGGCTCTGTTATATTGAAAGAGCAATTTGAGCACTAGGGCAAACAGATTTCAGTGTTGCTTTTGTTGTTGTTGTTTTTGGTTTGGTTTGGTTTTTTCTCCTTGGGGGCAATTCTGTTTTTGTGTCTGCCTGTTTGGTCATCTCCTGACAAAACACCAATCTTTTGCACTAGGAGCAGGCCAGCTTTGCACATGTTTATCCTGATTAGGCAGCACAGTAAAATTTTTGGAGCTCATTTTGGGCTGAAATAGTGTTTGGAATAAAACCTATTCAGTCCACTTTTTATTGCAAACAGTTTGTATGCAGCAAATACAAGAACACATACAAACGCACAGACAACCAGCCCTCTATAAAATTTTGAAAAATAATCCTTTTTAGTTATATCAAGTGTTTACTACACTTTTTTCATCTGTTGTAAATTGATATGTGTCAAAATACACCTTGAGACTTAAAGATGGAGTTGGCGATCCTTGAGTAACCAGCAAAACGAAGCTCAAAAGTAGACAACCGAAAAAATGCCACCCTTTCGCTCTGACCTCTCCAAAGCACAACGCAGGCAGCCTACTTGGAGATTTCAGGAAAATAGCAAATATCCCCCAAACAAAACAAAATAAAACCTGTCCAGCAAAAATATGGCCACAATAGTGTCACTTTTCAGCCCCTTTTGTTCGTCATCATTCAAAAGGGGTTAATTCAAGTTTTACTTCATGCAGCAGCAAACTTCTTTTTAGTTGTAATGTTCTTGATTATAGTGTTACCCACCCAGATCTGCAGCCCCGAGCTATAGTTGGGGACCTCTGGCTCATGGCTAAACTGCTGTAGCCCTAGCTTGTAGCCAGTAACTAGCCTTACAAGTCCGGGCTTTTCTGGTGGGGAGAAGTGAAGAGGGAGGCCAGCTAACTCTGTTCAAAACACAGGCTTTATTCCGTCTTGGTAACACAAACACTGCATGTGGCCTTTGATGCCCTTTTAACTGCATTGCCATCCTATCTGTACACTTAGGGCTGACTGCTGTTGGTATTTTCCTCACCTGTAGCTGCATGTAAATGGAGTCTGTTCTGTGTGGCTATCTTCTCACATTCATACTGTGTACACAGGTCACAACTTCTAGCTACAACACCAGCATTACCTGTTAGGCTATATGTATTAAAGGGGAAGGCCTGGTCTGTAACAACAAACCAATTTGTGAATGAAAGCTGCTGCGAGTACCTTTTCTGCCATAGCTCGCTAACTTTAGCTGTAAAATAGAGTGGTAACATGTTTGCCTGCAACTGCAGTGCCTTGTGGGAAACATGGCTCATGCACTGAGTGCACAGACAGAGTGCGTTGAAGTAGATTGACTGACAGACGGGTAAATCGTTCATTGGGATGAGAAAAATTACTGGTCAGTCTGGATCAGCCCTGCTGCTGCCAGAGACTGATTTTTTTTTCTTTATGTTGTCAGTGCATTTAATATATTCATTGCCATCGGGATGAAAAGAGAAATTTAAGAAATGTAACACAAAATGTTTCTGGAAGGAATGGCCAACCTTTTAAATATTACCAAAAAATCTCATCCACAAGTGCATTCCTGTGAGCAGGTGACATGATCAGTCTGGATACAACGGTAAATATTGTTCAGTGTTTTCTGAACACCAGACTGGAAACCTTTCTGGATTGCCACAATCAGTTATTGTTTAATGACTACCATAATTCTGATGGGTTTTGATTAGCTCTTACCTGTCTGACTGGAAAGATAAAACTCTTCTCACTTCAAAATAATAACTGAGTCTTGTAAACATTTATGATCTGTAATTAGTGTATGATTTTGACCTTAACCTCTGCTCTACAGCTACAGACACACTGAACAGTGCATTGGTCTCTATGAAAAATGACATTTAGAGTGAGGCATGTTTAACAATTGAATTAAAAAAAAAAGTAACTGTGAAAAATTAGCAAGAGCAATATAGAACAAAAGCCAACATTTTGTCACTAATGCTCTTGCTGCTGATCTTTTTTGCAAATGGACAGTAAGAAGGTGGACTGTGTCATCTGAGTATGTGTGACATGAAGCTTTTCTAGTCAGTGTGTTTTATTGTCAGTTTACTTCTGTTGCCTGATGAGAGACTCAACCATTAGTCTGATGGTCAGACTGGCAGTGATTTACTGAATGATGGCACTTTGTGTGGCACTTGAAGTTGGACCAGGTTCATTGTAGAAAATTGACCATTTATCATCCTTTTGGATTTTTTTTGCCAGATAAGACCCATTTAAAGTAATGAGCGGGGCTGTGTCTTTCAGTCAGCTGAACTGGGTCTGGGCCTTAGCCATTCCCTTTGTATCACTTTCAGTGAGTGTTAGCTAGTCACTCAGCCTTATTCACAGACTGTGAGAAAAAGACACGAACAAAATGCCCAGTATCAGCATTTAGCAGCTTCACTCGTCAAATCTTGGTATTCTGAATCATTCCACCATAGTCCTATCTTACTTTTGTATCTCATATTTTGACAGCTCCGTTCCTTGTCTCAGCTGTGCTGATCTTTCCATCCTCCTCCTCATCATTCTTTCAGTTTTTCCTCTTTGAATAAAAGTCCTATCCCTCATTACCTGGCAACAATCCCAAGCTCACATCCATTTGCTGAAAGAGTTGGACTGAGTCAGCTGATGCTGCTGAGACCACACAGCAGGCAGCATGGTAGAGTAGGAGAGAATAGAAATGGAAAGAAACCAGCCAGAGATTCATGGTGTGAGGAAGTCCTAGGATAGTGACAGAGAACAAAAGAAAGAAAGAAAGAAAGAAAGAAAGAAAAATCATAAATGACAGACCTTGTTTATGAGTAATAATGTACAGCAAGTCAGTGATATTGATTTGATTTATTCTTTCAAGCATGTAAAACAGTTGATATGACAACACATAATTTTACACATAATCCAATATCAATTTGCATATATCTAGTACATGCTTGAATGGAGTAGGAAGAAGTCAGACTTATCCAGTCCTACCCCATAACATCATCTTACCATCATTGGTTTGCAAGCAGTAAATAATTCACTTCTACCCACACACATATTATACTACAAAAAGATTTTAACAGTGTTAACATTCTTACATCACACAAGTAGTATACTAAAGAATTATTACAAAATGTACACCACACCCACAATTGTCCATGTAATTAATCATTGAGCCTGTTCTTGCATATATCTTGATTGACACATATATTTATGTTTAAACACTTAAATTATTCCATAGTTTTACCCCACTTCTGGAAATACTAAATCGTTTTTTGGTTGTACATATAGCATGAATTTTTAAATTTAACTGACCCCTTAAATTGTATCCCCCTTCCCTTTCATTAAATAGTTTTTGAATTCCACCAGGTAATAAATTGTTCCTGGCTTTATACATAAACACAGCAGTCTTATATCCCACTAAAT